CTCTGGGTCTCATTTTCTTTCTCTCCTCCCAGGGCCCCCCCCCCCCCCCCCCCCCATATAGAGCACTGAGCTGAGCATCTTATGTCTTCTTCCCTTATTCCTCTGCATGGCACCACCCACCCCCTGTTTTTATTTTGATGGAAAATCTGAGAAACCTAATGGTGCCTAGTCCTCCAACCCCAGCTGAGAGGGTTGCCTGGGGACTGCAGAGGGTGAGTGGGCTGCTACCCAAATCCAGGAGCCAGTTCTTATTGCCAGTGGCTTTGTTCATATGACCTGTTAGTAAAATCCAGAGGACCCATCACACCACCACCAAGAAAAGGCAGAGGAGTTGGGGAGAGAGATGGAGTATAGAGGGGGGAGAGGAAGAGAGAATCGGCTAAATATAGTCCAGTGGATTTGAGCACTTGTCTTGGCAAGAGCTGCAGCCCATAGTGCTGGCAAATGGGGATGGCTTTGCCCCCTTTCTTTTTCTTTTTGCCCAGGCACTAAACCAGTTTAGTTGCTCGTGCCGCATGCAGTTACAGCCCTGAGATGTGCGGTATGTTGACTGTGAGGCCTTGTTGTGAGATGAGGTGAGAGTGCCGGGAACAAAACGGTCATTATAGGCCATTCATGTCGACAACATTTATACCTCAGTGTTTGCTTGCAAGCAAAAGCAGGAGCTAATTTGCAAGGCTGCCTTTGTGGAGCTGCCTTTTGATCAATGGTTGCCTGTGTTAATGTTTCAGTAAGCTATTGATTTCCGCAGCAGCTTTTGTTCCCTGAATTTATGTGCCATGGGTCTCTGCAGAACACACTATGCATGTTTGATTAAAGTTCAATTGACTTCATTCCTGGTGCAGCTCGAGCTACTTCCCTGCCTATTTGTAGAACCAAAGCTTTCCCTGACGTGTTCTTTTGTTTGTGCTCCAGACCTAGCCACCCATGCAGTCACCAATATGCTGTCTCTAATCCTCCTGGATTTGCTCCGTTCCACCATTTAATCCCTTCATAGATATAACAGTGGTTGAGCGGCAGCTCATAAAACCTGGTCTGGACTTTTTTTGGTTAACTTTATTGACGTATGATGGGTATGCATATTATAGATAAACCATCAAAATGTATCCACTTTAAGTGTGGTGTAGTTGAGTCCATTTTGACAACTGTATAAATCCATGTAAATGCCACAATTGATTTATAGAATATTCCCTGATTTATAGAATATTCCCACCACCCCAGAAGGTTTCCTGGTGTCCTTTATAAGCAGTTTTCTTACTCCAGACTCCAGGCAAGCAACCACCGACTTCCTTTTTTGTGATCACACATTTGCCTCTTCTAGAATGGAGTCATAAAGTATGTACCCTTTTGCATCTGGCCGCACGCATTCAACACAATACTTTTCAGATTTATTCATGTGTGTCGGTGGCTTGTTCCTTTTCACTATCAAGTAGTATTCCGGCGAATGGGTGTACCACAGTGTTTACCTATTGTCCTGCTCGGGCCATCTGGGTTGTTTCTGTGAATGTGTGTGTAAAAGTCCTTGCATGAGAGCACATTTCTATTTCTATTGGGTAAATGCCCGGGAGCAGAATAATCACTGGGTCATGTGTAAATGTTTGTTTAGCTTTCTAAGAACTGCCAAACAGCTTTACAAAGTGGTTTAAGCATTTTACATTTTTAGGATATGGCTTGCCCCATCTTTCCTGAATTTAGAATTTATATTTTTTCATTTTCTTATCAGCTAATTTTAGACTTACAGAGGAGTCTCTGGCTTGGTCGTTTTGATCCTTGGCACTCAGATGATGGAATCTCTTATGGTTCTATTATTTTTAAAAAGCCGTCACTTAAATGGTGACAGAAAGTTGATGTACATTTCAACATTGGGTTTCTTTTGTGTGTCCTGATTTTTCACATACTAGAAGAGGACATGGGGGCACTGTGCAGGACTAAAGGTTTAGAGTTGTGAGTCTGGGCTTCTCCTGAGCCTTTTTTCTGTCTGATGTTTAGTGTTGGGCCAGCCTTGTAGCTTTGCTGAACTCTGGCTTTTTCTCTTGTAATCTGTAAGTTAGGCCATCTTTTAAAACCATTTAAATTCTTTTAAGACATTTATGTAAGGGGGACACCCCCCCCAAAAAAAACCAGAATTATCTTCTGGAGGGTGGGCCCCTTGTAGCACAGGCTTCTGCCACTGAGTGTTCTAGGAAACATCTGGATCAGTGTACCAGCTGGCATTGTTGTGAGAGGCTGCATTCAGCTTCAGTAAAATTTTGTGGGGGGGAGATTCTTTCAACACATTTGCCCATTTCATAATGGGTGATTTACTAGTGCACCTGCCCACACCACGATGAGTGTTCAGCAGTTTTTGGCTATAAATGGCATGACCCCTGTGCCACACCCTCCCTATTCGCCAGATCTCAACCCAAGACACTATTGTTTCCCTGGATGAAAAAAGCCCTAAGAGGGAAAGGTTTTGCCGGTGTGGAAGAAGTAAAACAAAAACAGCAGAAGCACTGAAAGGTATCAGAATTAAGTTCAAAAACTGTTTTGAGCAGTGGAAAAAATGTCTCGATAGGCGTATTGCATCAAATGGAGAGTGCTTTGAAGGTGACTGAAGTTTAAACGTGAAAATAAATGCACAGTTTTTAATAAATAAATTCCAGTGGGGGGGTGCAGCTCATGTTCAAGAAGTAGAAATAATCCCTGGTGACTGTGTGAGGCAGTGTTGTGTTTCAGACCATTGCTGTGTAGAAATGTCAGGGTGGCCGCTCTTCAACAGCCTTGAAGTAAGACTGAGGTTTGACAGGGACTCCTATGACGCCCTCTCACCCGGTTTTCTCTCCCACATTTATTTCCTTCCATCTCCTATTGCTTCACATGTTCCCTTAAGAGACTGTAGGCCTCTGTCACCACTGGCCCCAAAACAGCTACCACTGCAGGAGGTGGGAGGAGTCACTTCGGGTCATCTTGTGCATCTTTCCACCTTCGATATTGGGCTCTGGTTTTACTGTACCAGTTGCCCTTTTAAACTGAGCATACTGCTCTAACAAAGCATTTGAGAGGTGACAGTGACCTGCTTTGGCTTCTGTTCTGTATTTTTTCATAGGACAACCAGAGCCAGATCAGTGTCATGTCAGCATGTTTCTTAATTCCCTGCTGGGTTTCTGAGTTTGTTCCTCTAGCCGCCAACAGCGAAAGATCAGTATAGATAAGTGACATTCCAGGTCAGGAAGGTAAGTAGTAAGGAGGCAGGCGCCAGAGGTTCTGGATCATGGCCTCAGTTGGCTCAGGAAAGTCTCGTCAACCACAGGGACATTTAGCCTACATTTATAGAATGACACGGTAGACAAGTCAGAAATTCAAGCACAGCCCCCACATTTTCCCCATCGTTCAGTTACCATCTCATGGCACCAAAAAGGGGCTGCAGTGGGTATGTACTTGTGTGGGCATTCGTGTGCTTGTCCTTGGTGGTGGGCTCCTGGCCTCATCGGCCTGAGGTCGGGCTTCATCTGTTAAATATTTGCAGTCACTAGCATTTAGTTAAGTGGTTTCTGGAAGGAAACATGTCTACAGCTCCAAAGAGAGACATGCTACATGCATTTATGCTGACCCTTTGAGGCTCTGATGGCAGCCGTGTTTCTCTTCCTCAGAGAATGCAGACGTAGACTCCAGCTCCTGGGTCATGAGTGCTCAGCAGACACATTACCTGCTTTGCAGAAGCCATTTTCCCACCAAAAATCTGCTCACTTCTCTACCAAGCTACTAATCATTGTGTTTGAAGTCTTGGGAATGTTTTTGGTGAAACCTCATCTGATTGGGCACTGTCAGTCGCTAGAGTTTGTTGTGTGGTGTCTGTGCTTCTTTGTCTATTTCAGTCCTCCTAACACTCATATTTACAACTGGAGAACAAAATCTTTTCTCTTTCTTGGCCCCTCCATTCGCAACTCAGTGAACCTTCCATGGGCTGCGGTGCTCCGGCCAGGTAGCTCCCACCCTGGGATGCAGGTTCCCCCAGGGAGCCTCTCGGGGTACTATGGCCTGCCAAGTTAATTGACTTTCCACAATATTTGTTTAATTAGAGATCAATGTGATCTCAGCTCTCTTGCTGCTCTAAGTAGTATTTTAAAAGTTTAAAGGTGTTTTATCTTGGGGTGTTTGTTTTAAGAAGTCAGTCTTTTGTCAGCCAGGATTAGCTGAATGTTACTTAACCCATTTTGGCCTGCTGGCCCTGGAGGGCACAGTGCCAAAAGGGGCCTTTTTTTTTTTTTTTTTTTTTTTTTTTTAAGGTGTCCTACCGCTCGTTCTGCTGGGTGATGGAACAGAGTAGGTCCTTTTGCCTTGAAGACTGACCTTGTGACATGTGGCCTTTCATCTGCACATCAGCAGCACTGTCCTCTCAGTCTTTCTTTGCCAAACCCCAGTCCTTGCCTTTTGGACTTTGTGCCAGCTTGTCTCAGTGTGGGCACTCAGATCGGAGTGGAGGCTGTCAAGCAGTTTTCCCGGGTTTGGGTTTCTGTTCTCCCTGACCTCCCCCCGGCCCTAATTTCTCACCACCTCAGTGGTATCCTAGGTTGTCTCTGGAGTTGTCTGCCTGGCCAGGCCTTTCCTCATCACATCCATGTGATTTCACTGGAAACCTGTGAAGAACTCATCTGTGCACATGTGTGAGCACGTACACACACACAGTTGGAGAGCAGAGCCATCGGTGCACCTCCCCTGCTTAGAGCAGTGGTGGCATCTGGCATGTAGGAGGCGCCCACAAGTGCTCGTCGAGTGAACGGATGTTGTTGATATCTGCAGGTCATGCTCTGCTGGGCTGAGGCGACAGGCCCCATTTGTGCAGCTTTTAGGCAGCTCAGCGGTTGTATCTTAAGCAACTTCTCAAGACTCTAGAAGCAAACTATTCTTTGTCCTGGTCACCAGTATAGCTGTTATAAACCCAGCTTCTTCTCCAACATAGGGGCCGGGAAAACCAGATTCGTCTGGACAGTTTCATCACAGCCAGCTCTTCTCTCTTACAGGGGGAACTGATCACCTTCTATTACTACTGGAAGAAAACCCCAGAAGCAGCCAGCTCCAGGGCCCACCGCAGACACCGTAGGCAGGCTGTGTTCAGGAGGATTAAGACCCGCACTGCGTCCACACCCGTCAACACACCTTCCAGACCCCCTTCCAGTGAATTCTGTAAGTGGAGGACTTTTCACATGCACCAACACATGTGTCCCAGCTCTGGGCCTGAATACACAGGCGTCCTTGTCCCAGTGCAGCCTGGAGCTGGTGACCTGAGAAACTGTGTACACACGTGTGTGTGCATGCACGCGAGTGTGCAGCACAGCCTGAGTGTTGCACTGACTAGGCAGTTAGTAGGAGAGCTTTACCGATTATTTGTTCATTTAAATTTGTCTAGAAAACTCAATATCATTTTAATTTTTTCAAAAAGTAAGTCTTGGTCTTCGTCTTGGCTTTAGCCTGAGGTGTCTGGATAACTTCAGAGGAAATTTTCCATTTAGCTTTCATTGCACTTATATTGTTGTAGCAGTAAGTTCAGATTAACATTCTTTATTTTTTGTCCTGCTTTTACCAAGATCCTCTTGTTGGTCCCAGTATGATGAGCTATATGACAAGGAAACCCATACCCATTAGCCCCTAAAGACTAGGATGCAGCAGTGCTGCCTTCCAGTTCTGTCCTGGCCCAGGGCATGGACCTCCAAGGGTCGCTTATATTGCACACACAAACAAGAAGTGATCTAGTCATTTAGGGCTGGCGGGGTGGCTCTAGGCAGAGAAGCTGGTCCTGGGGAAACCTGGATGTGCCAGGAGGGCAATACGGATGCTCTTTGCCCTGTTCAAATTCACAACTTGTGGGTATCAGTGCCTGCTACCCAGGTTTCAGATGTGGCTCCAGCCCCAGCAATTTAGCAGGGCAGACCCTTGGGAACCCCCCCGCCCCCCACCCCACCCCTTACACACAAGTTCTTTGTTCTGATGGCTAGCCCTGTGGAATTCAGTGTCCCACCTCAGCCTAATGGGTCACTCTGACTGGCGGGTCAGAGCCTAGGGCAGGCCAAGTATGACGGTCTCCTTCACCCTATTGTGTGCCTGCTATGCCCAGTGGACCTCAGTTCAGCCAGCGAGGACGACTTCGACAGTGAGGACAGCGAGCAGGAGCTGAAGGGGTACGCCTGCCGCCACTGCTTCAGCACCAGTGAGTGGGGCTTCGACATTGACTTTATGCTTCAGGGTCCCTGGAGAATTGGGAAATTTCAACTTACTTCACTCCCCTGTCGAGCAGTCAGTACAGAGTGCTGATCAGTGCATTGGACAGACTTCCTCGAGGTTGGGCTTGGGGCGCCTGCTCTTAGCTCCTCCTGGGTACCCCAAGATAAGTGGGGAAGAAAATTCCTGAACCTCTCTCCTGCCCTGGGAGAGAGAAAATAGGGCAGCACCAGCCCCTGAGCTATGGGAATGGTGGGGTTTGTCCAGGCCCAGAGCGCAGGCTCTTGTGGCACCAGGTCAGGCCCCCCATCCAGATGTTCCAGAGACATTGGATTTGGGGGTTCTGTCCCCACCCCTCTTCCCCCTTGCAGCCTCCAAAGACTGGCATCACGGGGGCCGGGAGAACATCCTGCTCTGCACAGACTGCCGCATCCACTTCAAGAAATACGGCGAGCTCCCCCCCATCGAGAAGCCTGTGGACCCCCCACCATTTATGTTCAAACCTGTCAAAGAGGAAGAGGATGGGCTCAGTGGGAAACATAGCATGAGGACTCGGCGGAGTCGAGGCTCGGTGAGTCCCCAGGGCCAGGCAACCTCAGCCTCAAAGCTCCTGACCACACCTCCAGGCTACTAGGGTGCTGGGGGCTATGCCCAGCAAGAGGAGGATGGGAAGTGTTTCATTTTAGGTAGAGAAGCAGACCGCTGAGGTTGAAATGGTTTGTCCAGCAGTGTTAGTTTTGCCTGTGGGGCTGAGAACAGCCCCTATTCTCATCCTCCCTCTGCATGGGGGAGTCCACTGCATGGGACATGGTCTTGGGGCTGCCTCCAGGCAGGCTCTCCAAGGCCCTCACACCTGCCTCTGGCCCTGGACTGGGCATCTCTATTGTGGCATATCTCTGGGATTTGAAATTTACAGGCTTCTTTAAAAATGTTTGATCCAGTTTTAGAAACTTGGGTACTTTTTTTTACTCACTGCATAGCCTCCTCCTTTCATAAAGAGACTTTGTGTCTTCCAGGGTGAAAAAGTGGCAGGGACCTTTGGGAGCAAGGGTTTCCCAGGTTGGGGACCAAGGGTACCGCCAGGGTCTTCCCTGTAGTGCTGGCCTCCCCAGTGACTCTTTTAGGCAGGTGGGTGGTACCATCCACCTTTCTCTGACCCTAGCATGCTGACTGCTCTGCCACTGCTTGCCCAGAGAGGAGCAGGTGGACCAGCGTGGCTTAGAGCCCATAGCTTTGCAAAACATGCTGAAGCACTTGGTGGTTTTAGGAGCTGAGCTCATGTCTTTGGGTTACTCTCCATCTTGTCAGATGAAATCAGCAAGCATTTGTTTTGTTTTGGTTGGGCAGTTACATGGAATAAATACTAGGGGTAAGGTGACTTCAGGCTGACTTTGTGTGTAGTTGTCATTCTGGAGAACATGCCAAGTGGATGGTCCCCAACTGACGTTGGCTCCTCAGAAAGCCCTGCTCATTCCCAGTGCATGTCAGTCTGACAGTGCCAGAGACGAGTGCTTTGGGTTTCAGCCAAGAATTGCTCTTTTCCGTGTGAACCCACCTGCTCACCCCTCCTCCCTTCACTCCTTCCTTGTTGGCCTGGTGCACCAAGGCAAAGCCAGGGAGCCTGTTGTTTGCAAGTGGCTGGGATTTGCTTTGAAGTTGACAGTAAGGTCTGCTCTTGATGCCCCTGTATGTGGTTTGGGCTCAGGTGGCCCATGTGGGGACTGGGGTCCAGTGTCACCAGTGTTGGGTTTGGGTGGGTAGATGTCTACACTGCGCAGTGGTCGAAAGAAGCAGCCAGCCAGCCCTGATGGTCGCACCTCGCCCATCAATGAAGACATCCGCTCCAGTGGCCGGAATTCCCCCAGCGCTGCCAGCACCTCCAGCAATGACAGTAAAGCGGAAACTGTGAAGAAGCTGGCCAAGGTGAGGTTCTGGGTTGGGGAGTGGGGCTCCCTACCCTCCCATGAAAACCTAGATTGCTGGAACCGGTGTCCAGCTGCATCAGATGTGGGGCCATAGGTCATCTGTGGAGCCTACCGGGGCATCAACATTTCCCTGGCCTGGCACTGCAGCCTGGGGCCTAGAGAAAGGGGTCCAGCTCAGTTACCAACACTGACTTTTGGGGGCACCCAAGGCCTCAGAGGCTGTTGGGACATCCTCTTTTGGCCTGATCCTCCTTGTGGGCTTTTCCACTACAGAAGGTGAAGGAAGAAGCCTCATCCCCTCTGAAGAGCACCAAGCGCCAGCGGGACAAGGTGGCCTCTGATACAGAGGAGGCTGACAGGACCAGTTCAAAGAAGACGAAAACCCAGGTGAAGTTTGTGGCTGGGCCTTGTTGACTGCAGCTGGCAGCTAATGCACTGGAGAAGCTGCCAGCTGATTCTCCCTGGGAGGTGGCCGGGTCAGGGTGGGACCACTGGTCCTTGGGGGCCAAGCTTGCTGCTCGCTGTGCACTTGCCAGGCTCTGGCCACGCAGGGCAGACTAGAGCTTCCCCCTCCACCTCCCCTCTCTGGCCTCAGGAAATCAGCCGGCCCAACTCACCATCCGAAGGTGAGGGAGAGAGTTCCGACAGCCGTAGTGTCAACGATGAGGGCAGCAGTGACCCCAAAGACATCGACCAGGACAATCGCAGCACGTCCCCCAGCATCCCCAGCCCCCAGGACAATGAGAGTGACTCGGACTCCTCTGCCCAGCAGCAGACCCTGCAGGCCCAGCCCCCAGCCCTGCAGGCTTCCAATGGGGCTACTCCAGCTCCCTCCACAGCCCCACCAGGAGCCCCCCAGCTTCCCACACCAGGGCCCACGCCCTCTGCAGTTCCTCCACAGGGCTCTCCCTCAGCCTCCCAGCCCCCTAACCAGGCTCCATCAGGTCCTGCTTCCCATGCCCACATCCAACAGGCACCTGCCCTGCACCCACAGCGGCTGCCCTCCCCGCATTCGCCATTGCAGCCTCTGACTGGGCCAGCTGGCCAGACCTCTGCCCCACCTCACACCCAGCCCCCACTGCATAGTCAGGGCCCGTCCGGCCCTCACAGCCTGCAGGCTGGGGCCCTGCTGCAGCACCCAGGCCCCCCACAGCCATTTGGCCTCCCTCCCCCAGCCTCCCAGGCAGCAGCTCACCCTCACGCCTCCCTGCAGCCCCCAGCCTCTCAGTCAGCATTGCAGCCCCAGCAGCCCCCACGGGAGCAGCCCCTGCCACCGGCACCCCTGGCCATGCCGCACATCAAGCCCCCGCCCACCACACCCATCCCCCAGCTGCCTGCACCACAGGCTCACAAGCATCCACCTCATCTCTCAGGGCCCTCCCCCTTCTCCATGAATGCCAACCTCCCACCCCCTCCAGCACTGAAGCCCCTGAGCTCCCTCTCTACACACCATCCCCCTTCTGCCCACCCCCCACCCCTGCAGCTCATGCCTCAGAGCCAGCCCCTGCCCTCATCCCCTGCCCAGCCCCCTGTGCTGACCCAGAGCCAGAGCCTGCCCTCTGCTGCCTCTCACCCTCCCACAGGCCTCCATCAGGTGCCCCCTCAGCCCCCATTCACTCAGCACCCCTTCGTCCCTGGAGGCCCTCCTCCAATCACCCCTCCATCCTGCCCCTCTACCTCCACTCCACTTGCGGGACCTGGCCCCTCGGCCCAGCCAGCCTGCTCTGCTGCCGTTTCTTCAGGAGGCAACACACCTGGCGGGGCAGCCTGCCCACTGCCCACTGTCCAGATCAAGGAAGAGGCTCTGGACGATGCTGAGGAGCCCGAGAGCCCCCCACCCCCTCCAAGGAGCCCATCCCCTGAACCCACTGTGGTGGACACACCCAGCCACGCCAGCCAGTCAGCCAGGTACTGTGACAAGAATCTGGGCCACCCAGGGAAGGACTCAGCCTGGGCAGGACCCCCACAACCATGTGGCCTTTTTTAGGTTCTACAAACACCTGGACCGGGGTTACAACTCGTGTGCACGGTCAGACCTGTACTTTATGCCTCTGGCGGGATCAAAACTGGCTAAGAAGAGGGAGGAGGCCATCGAGAAGGCCAAGCGGGAGGCGGAGCAGAAAGCCCGAGAAGAGCGAGAGCGGGAAAAGGAGAAGGAGAAGGAGCGCGAGCGGGAGCGTGAGCGAGAGCGGGAGGCTGAGCGAGCAGCCGTGAGTGCTCAACCCAGGGCAGATGGGCAGCTGGCGGGGGTGGGCACTGGCCATCTCAGGGGACACTGGGGCCACACTGCTCTAGGTGAGGCCGTCTGGTTTGTTGTCCCAACAGATGGAGGATTGGGTGTTGTCTGAGATCCATCCCAGGCTTTTCTGAGATTGTGGCTCATCCCTGAGCCAGTCCTGGACCTCCCCCTTCCCCAGAGGCTCACTGTGCGCCCCTCCTGGTCCCTGGCAGGTCCAGGCCGGTTGACAGCAGCCTGGTGGGCAGGCCTGTAGACTGTTGTCTCATGTAATTGGAGGGAACTGAAGAGAAACTCAAGGGGGGGAGAGCCAGGCATTGGGCACATTAACCTGCCGCGTTGGCCCCTCTGGCAGCCCTGCCCTATGGCACTCTCGTAAGCTCGGCCACCTAGCACCTGACCTTGTGGTAGGGAACCCCCACTCCCATGAGGTACCTTGTCTCACAGGTACACAGTCAAACCTAGGACATAAAGGAAGTTATAGGCACAAAGGAGACGATGACAGTGGGTCTGGACCTTATCCTTATCACAGGCCATGGCTGGGTCCAGAAGCCGCTCAGTGTCGGAGTAGAGGGAGTGAATTGACTGGTCAGTGCAGGGTAGCCACAGAGCAGGGCTTACCTCTGCCAGGTAAACACTAGGCAGCTGGCGTCTGTCCCTCACACCCACCTTTCCTTCAGCAGAAGGCCTCCAGTGCAGCACATGAAGGCCGCCTCAGCGACCCCCAGCTCGGGGGCCCCGGCCACATGCGGCCATCCTTTGAGCCACCACCAACCACCATTGCTGCTGTGCCCCCATATATCGGGCCTGACACCCCTGCCCTTCGGACTCTGAGCGAGTATGCTCGGCCCCATGTCATGTCACCCACCAACCGCAACCACCCCTTCTACATGCCCCTCAACCCCACTGACCCGCTGCTGGCCTACCACATGCCCGGCCTCTACAACGTCGACCCCACCATCCGGGAGCGGGAGCTCCGGGAGCGCGAGATCCGGGAGCGGGAGATCCGGGAGCGAGAGTTGCGGGAGAGGATGAAGCCAGGCTTCGAGGTGAAGCCTCCAGAGCTGGACCCCCTGCACCCAGCCACCAACCCCATGGAGCACTTCGCCCGGCACAGCGCCCTCACCATTCCCCCCACTGCGGGTCCCCACCCTTTTGCTTCTTTCCACCCGGGTCTGAATCCCTTGGAGAGGGAGAGACTGGCCCTGGCGGGCCCCCAGCTTCGGCCCGAGATGAGCTACCCTGATAGACTGGCGGCTGAGCGGATCCACGCCGAGCGAATGGCATCGTTGACCAGCGACCCTCTGGCCCGACTGCAGATGTTCAACGTGACTCCACACCATCACCAGCACTCACACATCCACTCACACCTCCACCTCCACCAGCAGGACCCCCTCCACCAAGGTGGGCACCTAGGCTGGCTCAGAGGGCGCTGTGGGTTGAGCTGTGACGTGGGGGAGGTGCACACCAGAGACAGTCCTAATTCCAGGCAGACCTTAGACTCTTCAGCACCAAGGAATCCTGTTGTCACTGCACTCACAGCAGCCTTTGTGTCTGCCCAGCCCCTCAGTTCTCCAGGGCTGCAAGTCCTCAGAGAGCTGCATCTCCCTTAGACCTGCTTGTCGCCTCTTAGATAAAGCTTAGATTCTTGGCCCTGTGCCCAGTGTAGGCCAGGGAGTGAGGGAAGCGGCCTTTGCTCCCTGAGGCAGGCTTAAGGCAGGAGGCGGGGCCTTAGGAGCCAGGTGGAGGCAGTGCGGACACCCAGAATGTCTGTAGGTTGTCATTGAATGAGACTTTAGAGGAAAAATCTTCCTTCCCGCTTTGGGAATGAGGCTTGGGCTTTCGGCTTACCTGGCCAGTTCAGGGTGCAGGCTGGTCTGAGGCAGAGACAGGCACAGCTGGCGCTCTGTGCCCCTTGAAGCTCTGCAGGCTGGGCGGGTGAGGAGGGCTTTGGCTCCAGCCCTGGCCCTGCCCTCAAGTTGACAGATGTGCCTGTACCCTGGGACCAGGGCCTGCCGTGGAGGTCCTGTGGCACAGCCCACATTCATGACCTTCCCGTGGTCTGACCTATGTGCTTGAGAGCAGGACTGCTGATAGAACAGGCCCAGGGGAGAGAGGGCAGCACCCAGCTTCTTACCTGTGTCCCCAGCCCTGACGGCTGGTCCTCGGGAAGCCAAGGAGCTGTCAAATTTACCCCATGTTCCTGACACCTGAAAGCCGCGTGCCACCAGGTGTGGGCCTTTTAAGCCTCAGTGTAACCAACCAGCAAGCTGCCATGGTGCCATAAGAGGACGGGCAGGCAGTTGTTCTTTCATTTACAAGTGTTTGCTGAACACTTGCAATGTGCCACACACAGTTGGGATTATGGGAAGCGGTCAGTGTTCTGGAAGAAAGCTCGTCAGGGAAAGGGGATAAGGGGGTTGGGGTGATGCTGCCATTATAAAGAGGGCTGTGGAAAATCCTTTCCAAGAAGGTAAACTTTGAGCAAAGATATGAAGGGGGCAAAGGAGTGAGTTACAAGAAAGAGTAACTCTAGGCAGAGAGAGAGCACGAGTGCAAAGGGCCTGAGGCAAGAACGCAGATTTGGGAGTCAGCAGATGACATGCAGGAGAGAGCCCAGGCATGCCGAGCCCCATCCCTGCCACAGCACTCTGCTGGCCTCCTTTGGGTTCTGTGGCTGAAGGGCCCTGGGAAGGCAGCCTGGACCTGGAACGCTGGCTGGGGCAGGGCTGGAGTGGCCATGAGCTTCACCCCGTGGACATAACAGGTGCAGGGTGGTCAGCCCAGTGGGCTCGGCTGATCCAGGATCCCAAACATAATGGGATGGGGGACACTGCCTGTAGGGATGCTCGGAGGAGATAGCTATTCACTTCTGTTTTATTCTGTGGAGCTCCACTGCAGGAGTGTGGGAAGGGGTCAGAGGAAAGCTGCTTTGGGTCAGGTTCTTGGTGGTGCTGGTGACCAGGAGGCAGCGTGCTGAGGAGAAAGTCAGCAGTAGTTCGGCCAGGAAGGGAAAGGTTGAGAGAGCCCAGAGCCCTGCACCACCTGTATCTGGACTTCTGCCCCATGTTTCAGGTTCAGCAGGCCCAGTTCACCCGCTGGTTGACCCCCTGACTGCTGGCCCTCACCTGGCTCGCTTTCCCTATCCCCCTGGCACTCTCCCCAACCCTCTGCTTGGACAGCCCCCCCATGAGCACGAGATGCTTCGTCACCCTGTTTTTGGTAAGAATGCACTTGGGGAAGGAGGGGTTCCTGTGTAGAAATTGGGTTAGCAGTCTGGTCTGACGACCTGTTCATTCATGTGTTCGACACATATCCCCTGAGAGCTGGTGTGGGGTGGGAGGTATAGTAAGTGCATAACAAAAACCTAGATGAGAACAGTGGGCAATGAAGGAGTAACAGAGGCTCCGAATGTACATTGAGAGCTTGGGGAGGTATGTCTCTCTGAAGAAGAAACAGGCTGAGGCCTGGAGCCTGAGGAGGAGGGGAGCCCTTCCCCCAGGGGAGGCTCTGAGGAGGAGATGTTTTGTGTCTGCAGGCACCCCCTACCCCCGAGACCTGCCAGGGGCCATCCCACCCCCCATGTCAGCTGCACACCAGCTGCAGGCCATGCATGCCCAGTCGGCTGAGCTGCAGCGGCTGGCCATGGAGCAGCAGTGGCTGCATGCACACCCCCACATGCACGGCAGCCACCTGCCAAGCCAGGAAGATTATTACAGGTGAGGCGGGGTGGGGGCGGGGGGCTGGCTGGGCTCCCACCTACCCCACCCGTGGGCCACAGAACCAGCCTGATGACAGGCCCTCCTGGCTGTGTTGCAGCACTCCTCCCAATCAGCAGGCACCAGGCCCCTGTGGTCCTGGAGGGGACCCCTGTAGCACCACCTTGGTGGAGGGAGCAAGGAGGGCCAGCTGCACGGGAGGCATCTTGGGCCTGCCTGCCCAGGCCTAGTGCTAAGTCCTCTTTCCTTTATTTTTCTTTCTAGTCGACTGAAGAAAGAAGGTGACAAGCAGTTATAAGTTATTTATTTGTTAACGCTGGCTGTGGAAACCCTAGTTCTTGGGGGGATAAACAGGACTTTTTACATACCAATAGGATCTGCAAAAGCAAAAGAATATCTTCTAAAGATTTCTTTATATATTTAAAAACCCCACAACTAAAAATGTATCAGCATAATAGTGTTTGTTTGTAGAGAGGATTCCTTGAGACTGGTTTGGGTCTCCCTGCATGACAGTCCCCCAGAAACTTAGCGAGTCCTGGACTGGACTGAACATTCAGAAAACTTCCCAGCAATCTTGGGGTTCAGCTTTGTTTCCTTCCCTTTTCGACTTCTCAGTAGGTGCTAGGGTCCAGTCACACCCTTCACTGTGCGTGCAAACGCACTCAGTCACGTGTGTCCCACAGCCCACAAGGTGTGCAGATGGGTGGCATATGAGTTTGGAATCCAAGAGCTATAATTTTTAAAGAATCTTTTATTTTGCTACATTGTTGGAAACCATAATTTGAAAAAGCTCTGCAGCACAGCTTTTTATGTCTGTAAATAATTTTAGAGCAGCCTTTTTTTCTTTTCACAAACTACTGTTGATCTATTTTTTCCAGCCATGTCACTAATTATGAATTCCTACCAGCTATTGACAGAATACAGAGTTGATTTTTTAATAAAAAGTTATATATAATTATCCCTTTAATTAAAGGGAGCAGATGGGCGTTACTAATTGCAAACAGGCAAAAGCTTGGTACTTGGTTTGGTTGCAGCAGTGAGCATCCAGGGGTTTGCAGGGACAGTGTTACAAACTTTTTGTTTTGCTTTCATTCTCCACTTCTGTCTGTTCCAAGCTGTGCTTTGCCAGCAGCGCAGACATCTGTTAGATCGAGCCTCTTGTCACTTTGCACCAGAAGTGCAGGAGTTAAATGTCCACCCGTTGTTCTGTTCTGCAGGATATACACATGTTTATGTGTGTCTGATTGTAGATTTCCTTATAGATTTCTATGCACACATATTTGATTGTTCTGGGTGGACTGCCTTTCTTAATACTCTGACAATTGCATAAATATTCTAGAAAATTCAAGAAAATGATTCCCTACCAATAGCACATATGCTTGCCAAAGGAGTCTGTCAGGAATTTGCCCTTCTGTGCGTGTTGTCCTGGGCTCTGTGGTGAGGCCAGGCTGTCCCCACAGTGTGCAGCTGCTTTCCAGTGGGGAGACCTCAGAGTGGTTGCGGTTGTGGGTGGTGTGGCTTACATGACTATCACCAGGAGCAAGGTGACCCATGTCAGGCTGGGAAGCCATTTGAGTGCCACCCTTCATCCTGAAGTGGGAACAAGGGTGAAAGGCACACCTGTGGAGTGGGGCTCAGGCTGTCCTGTAGAGAGCCCCCTTCAACTTCCAAGTTGCTACAGAGGATGGGGAGGTTCTTGGACTGTCTGCACCTGTTTCTGCCCAGGTATGACCCTTTCTGTCCCTCTTCTCTCAGACTGTGGAGAGTTGTTTCCGCTGTTGCATGTGGCGGCCATGTCCAAGAATTGTCAGGCGACAGTAGGTTGTTTCTGTGGGTCAGTGGGTGTGAAGTACACCCAGGACCCGAGCCGCGTGGGACGGAAGGGGCTGGTGCTGTGAGCCAGGACCCGTCAGGTGTTGGCTCAGACTCGGGTTTGCGGCTGCGTTGCGGCATTGCCCGTTTCTGTTAAAACCGTGTTCGATTTCAGCTGGGACAGATAGAGGATTGTTTTGTTTGTTGAAAATGTTTGTAGTTTTTTCTTTCATTCCATTTCTGCCTTAAATTTAGCTCCTTGTAGAGGAGACAAGCTCAGATGAACCCTTTGTCATCAGACTTGTGGCTGTGTTGGCAGGGGCATTTGTTTCCTCCGGGGCAGTGACCTGCCATCAGAGTGGGCTGCTCTTCAACGAGGCCGCACTTCGGCAGCTCCCGCTGCCCCCCGATTCCCGCACCATTGCCCCACCCTCTCCCATTTCTTGTTTTCCTTCTGATAGAAAACAATACCCACCATTCAGTTACGACTCTTTATCTCCTCTCTCCAGCATCCATTTTCCAAAGAAGAGAGAGAGGGAAGTTCTTTGAAGTCTGTATTGAAAGTTGTCTGAAGGCGTTTTCCTGTTAGGTTTTGGTTCCCCCCACATCCCAAGGTGAAGCACTGAGATTCTTCTATTTGAAAACCCTCACCTGGTCAGCTACGGTTTAGGAGGCCCCAGACCTTCCTTTTGTTTGAAGTTGGGTTTTGCTTTTCTGTGTTTTGTATGTATCTTGTTCGATGTTGTCAAGGTTGAGCTTCACGTTTCACTGCGGCAGCAGCAGCAGAGCAGAATGTACATTCTGACTTGCTACGTTTATATATATCTCGAAGCTAAATGTATATATGAGTAGTTTGCCATGAGATAACACAGTGTAAACAGAGTAGACACCCAGAAATCGTGACTTCTGTGTTCTCTCCATTTGAGTATTTTGTAATTTTTTGGAAATATTTGTGGACATAAATAAAACCAAGCTACACTACAACAGCTGGGTGCTGACCTGTGGCTGACCCGTGGACTGCGTCTCATTCCTGGGAGTGGGCGGGATCTTGGCTGCTGGCCCTGACCTGAGTCCCCAGAGTGGGAAAGAGTGGAGGGAGCATCTGGTGTTCTCTGCTGTTGCCGGCACAGAGCTTACCTTTCCAAGCAGCTTCTGGAAAGATCCACGTCTGCTCTGTTGGAGAGGAAGGTGAGTACACTTGCTCTCAGGAGCTGCTCCAACCTGCTGACTTGTGATAGTTGACTGGCAACGAGCTCCTCGCACTGCTGAGCGGGCCCCGGGTTGGAGGGGGCCATGGGACCAAGAACACTCTGCTCTACCCAGACCCCTTTCTCTGCTTAGGAGAGGTCTGCAGAGTGGCTGTTCTTCCTGTCTTGGCCCTTCCATGCCTGAGGCCTGCCCTGCAGGCTGCGGGTGCATCCGCCCAGCTGTGGGGGTACACGTGGTGGTCCATCTGGGTCACGGATGAGAAGGTGGGGCTGCGGAGGGAACAGTGAGCAGCAGCAACCCAGGTGTCCTCTTTGCTGGTCTCTTACGCGGCATGCTGCTGTTCATGAAACCAGTTTATAATAGGCATAAATTTATCAGATGCAAAGTTCAAAGTCAGATGCTGAGACGTGTCTGAATGGATACATGGAGATATGCTGCAGAAAGGGCCCCCATCAAAACTGCACAGATTTTAATAGTTTCTCAGGTGTGGACAATTGGCCATGCTCACTACCCTGCTGTGTACCCCCTTTGAGGCAGGGGGCCTGCCCCATTGGACACCAGGATTTGCAAGGAGACAAAGTCTACATACTGCCTAGCAGCTGTGCTCCCTGCCAGGCCCTTGCCTCAAGCTCCCCAGATGAACTGGCACCAGTGTGCCCCTCCACCCCTTGGTTCCTGTGAGTGCAATGTGGGTGAAGAAAGGTGTGCTGCAGGGCTGGTGTGTAGCCCGAAGCCTGGCAGGATCCACGGTGAGTTCAGGTGAATGGGGACAGGCCACTCACTGCAGGGTGAGCTGTACCACAGGGAGATCGGCAGTGACTGCCCACACAGAGACAAGCCCCTCAGACACGGGGACCACGGAGCCGTGTGGCTGTGGGAGCAAACATCTGGTGAGTGGCGGGCAGCGTGCCCTCATCCAGCCGGGGCCCCTCACCGGTCTCAGGCCTGACAGTTTACCTGCCAGGCACCTGGGAAGGCCCAGGGTGGTGTGAGCAGGCACCAGCACAGGTTCAGTGCTATAGAATAGGAGCAGAACCCAGACACCTGGGGTTGAGCTAACTGTCCCCACGACCAGTGGAGGTCTGTCTGCATTGGACCCCTAAGCAAGTCCTTCCCACTGGAAGGACCGAAAGGGCAAGGAGTGAGGCGGGGGCGGGGGGTTATTCAGGCTGCAGGGGAAAGCCAGCCCTCTGGATTCCTGGGGCTCCCATCGGAAGGCAGCGCTGGACAGGAACTGCACTGTCCATCATGGATGGGTCCCTTGGTCCCTTCGAGGCCCAGGAGTGGCTCCTGCTGCAGCACAGGCTTTAAATTTACCCTGGAGCTCAGCACCCTCATGGCTTCGCCAGTCTGCGTTTTGGTCCTTGGAGGTCTCAGGACCTGAGGTCCTTGCTGGGTCCCCAGCTGCCCCATAGAGCTCTGGCAGCTCAAGTTCTGGGCCCCAGATGTTGATTTTGCTTCAGCCTCAGGTGGCTTCTCTAATGGCTGTATTTGCCAGAAACAACTCCCAAGTCACCTGTACTTGTTCCCTTTTGACCTGTCAGGGGCCCAGGGTGCAAAAGGGAGCCATATCTACCTGCACTGGCACCTTGGGTTCCCCTTCCCGATGCCTCACGATGGGACCAGGTTCTGGTGGGTAGAAGGCCCTTGCTCCGAAAATACTTGCTGAGCAGTGCCTACAGAAGGCTCCTGGTACGCTCCAAATGTGCGCTTGCGTCATGAGTGTGGGTGATCAGCTGGAATGGCTTCACATACTGCTCTGGTACCTCAGTGACCCTTCTCCCATATGTGTCTGTCTCTCCTACTCAGTGCTGATGGAGTTCAGAATCTGAGCACAGGTCATGAGCATTACAGGTCACATGAGCAGTATGCACGCATCCCTGGTGATGCTCTGCCACTAGGACAATTAGTGTGTGCTGTGACGACTGAGGACAGTGTGCCACTCCACCAGGGAGTGGAGGTGTCTGCTGCATCTTTCTCTTACCCTGGAACCCCCCGGACTAGCTGCACCTGGTCTTGGATCTCAGCCCCAGCCCTGTCCTGGTTACACGGTTCTGAGAAGTTTGGGTGGGGTCTGGTGAACCCCTAAGGTGTGGACACCCAGTGAAATGAATGTGATTAGAACTAGAATTTTAAGGCACTTCTTAGAAGACTCATTCAGAGAGCTTGTCACAGCCAGGTCCTGACACACGATAGGTTTGCAGCTTGGTCCTTGCCGTCGCTCCCCGTCTCGACCACCACCAGGTAGTAGTATGTCAGGCCCAGGCTCCACCTGTGTGAGGCTGCCACCCCCCAAGGTGACACTTTCAGGTTAAAGTTTCTCCTTTACCACCTCCCCCAGATGTGCTGGGAGAGAGGTATGGGTATGATGAGTGTTTTGTAAAAGAACTGCGTTTTCTGGAGGCAGGGAGCTGGACATGTGATGCTGGCCTGGGTGTTTTGGGCAAAGAGCAACTGGAAGTAGGTCACAGCAGGGGTGAGAGAGTACAGGGAAGAGGGCCTGGGGCTGCAGTGCGGTGGACAGGGCCTAGGCCTGGATGTTAAGACCATGGAAAGACTCTTGGCCTTAAGAACAGTGGCTTCTCTTTTGTTCCTAGTGCTGGGACGTACACAGGGTGTGAGGTGCCCAGTAAGCGTCCATGAGTGGAAGAGGACCCCATGTGCACCCTCTGTGGCAGGGGATGTCCAAGCATGATGGCCTTAGTACTTGCCCCTGCAGAAGTCCCTTCTGTACTTGCCCCTGAGTTGCTGCCGCCCTGGGGGCCCCAAATGTGCCCCTAACTCAGGACATTTCTCCTTCAAGTGTCACAGGAGGAGGGTGCTCCCAGCCAGGATGAGACCCCAACATGCACTGTGTGGACCCGCAGGCAGCGCTCAGCGAGCCCAGCAGTGGTCGGTTCTGGTCTATTCTAGGGGCACTGCTACCATTCCCTCAAAACCTGTAGCCCTGTGTGAGATAGGTGCCACATGTCACCTCCCTCAGTCACTGTGCCCCACACCATGGTCCAGGGCTTGTCTAGCAGCTTGGGAGGAGAAACCAAACCAACACCAGCTGTGGCTGTGCCATCTGTTCCCTCCACCAACGCTGTCAGCCTAAGTGCCATGACTGCCATGGAGGCAGAAGTCATGTTCACTGCCAAGAGCATCGAGGAACAGGAGTTGGTTTTCACGTTTGCTAAGAGGACAGTCGGGAGTGGCTTTAACACCTGTGGTGCAGTCACAGGTATGTTACTTGGTTTCAGTGGTGGTGGGGGCAAGTCTCATCCCACAACCATAGAGCAGAGCTTCCTCTCCCTTTCCTCAGAGTGGAATGGTGTCCCCTCTGAGCTGAGTCCCTGGGAGCCAGCCCAGAGCAGGATGGCGGTCATGCCACGGGAGGAGTTCGGCAGCTGACACTTGGGTCAGGGCTGGAGGCCGGTCTCCCTGGTGCAGGCATGTGACCTGGGCCCAGGACTTTGTGCACTTCTCGAGGCACGGGTGCCAGATGGAGTGGCGGTACCACCTTCCTCACACTGGGGAGGTAAAGCAAGCTGTGCAGGTATCACTTAGCTGGTCGCTTAACGAACCACCCCAGCAGCAGCCCCTGTCACCGCCGCAATCATAGTGTGATGTTTGAGTCGAGAGTGTGATGCTCTGAGATGGGAAATGATGCAGGTGTGCATCTTGGTGAGTCCTGGGCCTCATGGTGGCTCCCAGGGTGATCTGGGAACAGACCTGAAGGTCAGGGGCACGTTTTTGAAGCTGGCCCGAGGGCCACCTGATGCTCTGGTCAGTCACTGTCCCCTAACAGGGAGCAGCACCTGGCTCAGAACAAATCAAAAGGAAGAGAGGCTGATGACAGCCATTCCCATTTGTAAAGCCATTTTTGTTTAGAAAGTTCAGGAAGAGAGCCTAGGGTTTGACAAGCCAAGAATGAGCAGGGAGCTCTTCATTCCTCATCTGTCTCACAGATTTGACGATGAACTGTCCAGACCAGGGGGCTGCCACTCAACACTGCACTTGCTAGGAAATCTAAAGCTGTCCTCCTGAGCAGTGTAAATGCGGGGAAAATGAGCCTGGAGTCCTAGAAAAGCGTGGGACTAATAGGCTCAAAGAAGCTGCATGACTTCAGAAAGTCACTGCGTCTCTTTGTGCTTCACCTACATGTGTAGCAGGACAGGGAGACTTGCCTCACCTAGTTCATAGCCATGAAGAGTAAAATGACATGACATGTAGGCACAGGGAAAGGACTAGCTGATCCCAGTGGGTGGGCTGCATGGAGGAGGTAACATTTTAGATGAAAGTGGGTGAATCAGAAATTGACGGGCAGAGAAGAGCTGGGAGGACTGCACCTGGAAAGAGCATGAGCAGAGGCATGGAGTGTGTTAGTGGCTGCTGTCCAGGGGGCTGAGCCACGCAGAGCCTGGGGGGCTCGGGAAGAAGGTGGGGTCGTGTTGGGCATGAGGATGGTAGAGCCAGTTCCTAGGCACTGGAACCATCGAAAGCATTAAAGGAAAGGAAGGGCTTAGACCTACGGGGTGGAATGTGGGTGATGAGGGTAGACAGCAAAGACCCTGGACCAGGGCAAGGGACACAGAGGACCTCAGGCATCACCTACGCTCCCAGAGGCCAGCAGGCAGTGGCCCTGAGGGAGCCCAGGCACAGAGGTCACAATGAGGCAAGAAGGCTGTGGTCCAGGTGGGGAGGTGGCCAAGGTGCCCTGTAGAAGATCATGGTTTTTGCACTCAAGTGTCCCTAACTGGTCAGAGTTAAGATGTGAGCACACATTAGCTATC